CTACACTACATAAACTTCACAAATGTAAATAAAATTTATATTCAGTTGTCCTAGCAAATATTTTTCTGCTCATAAAAGTTTTCATAAGAAAAAAAGTTGATAAACATTCTTGATACATTTTTTATGTACGACATTTGAATAAAATACTAGTATAGGGTTTTAACTCTAAGCTTCACAAAACTTGCATAAACTTTTTCATAAATAACGCTCTTCTATGTGCTTCTCAGCTTTAATTTATCTAATGGAATGCTGAAGTTTCTCATATATATTTAAAACTTAACGCTCTTCTATGCGATTCTCATGAATTCAGTCAGGTCTCTCTCATTTTAAGTATTGTTCAATAGCTTGTAATTGAATATTTTTTTCTTGCTGCTCAGCATTTGTCACTTGAGTTTCATTCAATTTCCTTCTATGCCCTTCTATTTGATTTTCATGGTATTCAAGTAGGCTTCACAGGAGTCTCTTTGTGCTGTTTTGGAATGTTCAATAAGTGTAATCGCTGACTGACTAACTGCTTTGCCCCATTCAACGAAACTGCCCTTCTATGCGCTTCTCAAACATATCGAATTACAGTCTTGTTCTCTTCCTCTATTGGAATGTGACTAAACAAAGTTTTTATTGTTTAGCTGCCGCAGTAGTACGTGTGTCATTAGAATTAAATTATATTGCGCTTCTATGCGATTCTCATTACAGCGCACAGCTTCTATCGCATGCTAAATGCGTGTGTTGATTTTTCTGTTCTCTTTTTTTTTCGCAGCTGAACAACTACCGTTTGCCCGTTTGATTGATATCTAGAGCTAAACTCATTAAAAGTCAGCTATATCTCTGGGGACTCGTTTGAGTCTCGTTTGTGTATGCCGCATGTGGCAGACTCCCTTGGCGCGTGCATTGCCGCATTGTGTGGACTGTTGCCAGCACGTTGAAGTTAGCCCGTTAAACGCAAAACAAACTCGAAATTGGCACAAAAAACACCTGTGACCCTTTTTCTTCTGTTGCCGTTTTGCTTGTGTGTGTGTGCCGCAGGAGACGTGCAGAAAGGGGTGGGGCGAGACGTGGCGGACAATCAGCACTCGAATTTAATTTGCATGGCCAGCCATCAGCCATCAGCTACAGCTACAGCTACAGCTACTGCTAGTCCCTGTGGCAGCTCCCTTTGCGAGCTCCAACTCAGCTTGACTCACGTGCGCTCGCTTTTATTTGATTTTGATTTCATTTTTTGGGGCACACAGCAGGCAGCAACACCAACAACAGCGACCTGAGTAACAAACAACAACAATGAACTATAATTTACGTTGCCCTGCATTGCTGTGGCACAGTTTTTGGACTCCTCGCTGCCACAGAGAGCCCTGAGCCAGCTGCTCCTCCTTCTCCTCCTCCTGCTGCTGCTTATGCTTCTGCTTTTACTTCTGCTACTGCCTCTGCCTCTGCCTCTGCCTTGGCTTTTAAGGAAGGCAACAATAACAATAGACCTACGCTTGGCCTCGCCAACGTCGTCGCCTCTTGGGCCAACGCTTAAAACTAACATCCTTAGCCCCACTTGCCGCCTCCTGCTCGCTTGCCAAACACATCAGCTTCGTGCTTCCTCCTGCTCTCATTTGCATTCTCATTGCGCTTCTCATCCTTATGCTAGACGGGTGCTAATGCACTCAATGCAAGCACATAATTCGCTGTCCTCGAGAGGCGGAGAGGCTGAGTGGCATGCAACACTTGTAAGCCACCAAGAGCTGGCCAAAGCCAAGCCACCGACAACCCATCCGCCGTCACACTGACTAAGCAAGCTTCTGATATTAAGTTATAATGAAAATGAACTGTAAAATGGGAGAATGCAAAAATTACGAATAAAATTATTACGTGAGTTTAAGCTGATCTAGAGCTAGATACAGCGCAAGATTTGCTATTGAAGAGCTATATAATTGATAAGGAGGAAAGCTAAGACGAAAGACAAGTTGAGCGTGAGATAGGAAGGGGAGGGGTAAGAATAAGATGCAAGTATACATTAGGTTGAGGAGAGATATGGAAGGAAATATATTTAGGTATTTCTAATGGCATCTATAACTGATATCATCATTTCATATACTATAGTAATAATATATAGCCAGCTTTATTCAATAATTTATTTGAATATATGTATTTCACGTGATATTGTTTCCTTTCGTTTTCAATTCCACTGTGCCTCAGCTATAAGGGCACTCATTAGAGGGTTTTTCGCTGGAGATCTGATCTAAAGCTGCGACAGCGAAGCCGGAGGATATTTTGTATGTTTTTTTGTTTCACCGTTAGTTGTTGTTGTAGCTGTGGCTGTTGCTGATGTTGGACTCATGTTGCACATTGCGCCTGTCGAGAGGCATTCAGCTCAGTGCGTCCCGTCCGTCCGTTCGTCCGTCCGTGCCCTAGAGCAGGTCATCCTGAGCGCCGTCATCGTCACTTGCCTTGATGTTGAGGCCACTTAGTTTGAATTAAGCTTGAAGACATTTTCCTGACATTTCTTCTTCCGCTTCCACTTCCACTTTCGCTTTCGGCTTCGCTTTCGGCTTCGCTTTAGGCTTCGCTTTTTTATGTTTTATCTGAATGTCTTCATTTCATAAGTTATTTGCTTATGGCTTACGTTATTTGGCTGTTGCATAAATCTACAGCTCAGGCAGCAGCAATATTAATAACTTAAGAAGCCAACGCACGCACAGGCACACACATACACACTCGGCTTTTGGGTGGGGGGTGGTCGAGCACATAACAAGGAAGCTGCCTGTTGGCTGACCAAACTGGAAACACGCATACGCCCTGATGTACGAGAATGACTTGCCTTGAATATTTTCGGCATTCGATAGTTGCTGCAGCTGCCGGCTGTTGTTGCTTGCCACAA